TACCATCTAACATCATAGTATACCTCTTAGCCAATAGCGATGGCAGATTTAAACTCAAATGCAGTGCTGAGTTTTTGCCCGACGACGGTGCATCGCTGACAGTTTGAGGCAGATTATTTAAATTTTAACTAAGATTAACTAAAGTGCAAAATTATTGACTGAATGTGTCTACAGAGCAATTAGACACTCATTTATATAGTTTATCGACAAAAAAAAAGTTGATTTGAGGGTGACTTGCTCTTTAAACATTACTCAATGCACAGAATTATAATTTTACACACTATTAAAATGACTAAAACAAGGAAATGAGACGTTTTTTTTAAGTTTCTTTTATATTGAATTATCTGGATTAGAGGCATAATATTAGAAGATAATCTCTTGATGTATTCTTAAAGGTTTGTCTATATTCTATTGGCTAAAATGACCATAGCGAAGTATTTTGGTGCAATTCCCATTTAAAATCTGCCACAATAATCAGTTTTATTCTAATTCAGTCATTTCCCTCATGCTGCTTTACAGCATGAACAGATGAAAGATTGATCATGTTTTGGCTGGGGTGAGCGAACAAATGAATGGATATCCCTAATCCAAGAGGTGGCCTAGATTTGAAGCACTCCCTCTGCAAATAGAGTTGTCGACCTTCCTGTCAGACTGTGCACGCGTGCACATTAACGCTCTGTAAAGAACAATAGGCCTTCTGATAACACAAGCTGCTTCAGCTCGTGTCTGCATAAATTAAATAGTACTGTACGCATGCAAAGTCTAACAGGAAACCGTGGACACTGATCAATTTAGGAATTATGTTTACTGGTTCCAAAAAAATGTAAGTTCAAGTTCAAGTAAAAGATTATTTTGCCATCTTGTAAATTGCGTCAAAAGAAATAAATCACACAAAAACATTGGGTTTTGTTGTGAAATTCACACCATTGTAGAATAATTCTTTAAGTTTTGATCACATCAGCGCTGAAACGAGGGAGATTTTAAGATCATACCATGAATGATTTATATAATTTAATTATTTATGTTGCGTTTAGCTCACTAATAGTTTTACATCATCTGTAATTAAGCCTTTAATAAAGCCTAAAACTGGTTTCTGTTAAGATTCTTCCAATAAAGCATTAAAACATATTAATTACGTTCACGTTTTCAAGCACAAATCAACCCAAATTCAAGCTGTTTGTCTACATGTAACCTAAAAACCAACAGATTCTGATGAAGGGGTGGGAGACGATGGCTTTACCTACACGATCAACAATAATTTTCCTTCTAGTTCAAGCTGCTTTTGCACACACACACACACACACACACACACACACACACACACACACACCCTCCACCCCCTTTTAGGCTGCAGCCACGTTGGTTGAAATAAAATACGGTCACAAAAGGAGTAGCTGCCCTGCATTAATGGGTGTGTGAATGAGTGGATGCTGATTAGACTGGTAGTAGATTGGACAATGGGGAGGACTGTATGCATGGACGTAATTTTTTTTTTGGGGGGGGGCATGTCCCCCCGCTTCTAAAGTGAAAATTACGTCCATGATTGTATGTGGTCTTTATTTATGCAGCACAGTAGCCATGTGCAGACATAATGATCTATACATGTACTCTAAAGAGATGGTGTGTCTTTCCTGGGCTTTGATTTGTTTGATACATAAATAAAATGATGGAAAATCGATTATGTAGCATAATCAGCACCAGGATTGTGTGCATTACAGTTTGTATGCAGGTACAGGCTGCGCCCTCTTGGGAATACTCTGCAAAACACCCAACGTGTCAGAGTTGTTTATAAGAGTTGATGCATACGTATTACCAGTCTGATCTAATAAAGTCATCTTGATATTTTAAGATGCTGTGCAACATAGAAGAAGATAAAGATGACCTGAAGTATCGTTGGAGATGAGAAATGAAGGGTTAGGCAGTCAACTCTTTGGTAACAGATGAACAGAGGGGCCAGTGCAATACCCCTCCTGCTGTGGTGTGTGTGTGTGAGTGTGTGTGTGTGTGTGTGCATGCGTCTCCGAGGACTCGACTGCCTGCGGGAGGAGTGGTTATGAAGGGGTGTGTGTGTGTGTTTGTAGAGAGACACAAGGGTAGACACGTATTGTCAGCAAAGTAGACGCTCACATGCTTTCTCAGCTAAGCTGTCGTGTGGTGAGAATGTGAGCGGAGCAGCGTGTTCACTGATGCACCTTCATTTTATCTCTTCGTTTGATTATTTAATCTGGATTTTAGTTGATTTTATGTCTTAGCAAGGCACTCGTTTCTCTGAGCAGGAGGATTACACCCAAACGGAATAATGGTGTTTATCGGGACCTCTTTAAAGTCCGTTATTAAGTTCTTCAAAAAGAAGGGTGAGATATTTTTCTCTTTGTTTGATACTGAACAAAAATACTTTGAAGCTATTTATGAAAACTACAGAAAATTTAATTATTCTAATAAATCTGAGTAAGTTGCATCTGTTTGAGCTGTGTGTTGACATTTTGAATATTTATATTAGCTGGATAGCTCCTTTGAAACTCGACGCACCTCTTTGATTTTTACAAATGAACAATTCCTGCTTTAGTAGTTTTAAATGATGTTTTTATCACTACAAAATGCTCTTCTGCGGTTTTACTGCTTCACCACTGCCTCTCCTGGGGTTGGTGCTGTGTTGTGCACCGTTACTAGGTAACCAAGTGTCCAAAATGTCATCAACATGTTTTTAGCTCTAAATGGTCCTGCAGCACCAGGTAGAATCCACTGCTTTATTAGAATGTGTCCCTTTGTGTTTTCATTTAAGTGTAATTTTGTTTGCCCTGTGCATCACATATGAAGATCATTTAAGACTATTATTATTAAAGTAATTCCATCAATGGGGGCGTTTTCAGCACGTGAGGACTTCCAGGAATGATTGACGCAGGACAAGCTGCTTGTGAAGACGATCTGTGGTGTATTTATAGCTGGTGTTTGTGTACTGAAGTTAAGTCTGAGGTGTTGGTAATCGTTACTTTTCTTTGCTTCTCTTCCTGGATTATGCAAGTCTGCTGAACACCCAGACCACGCGGAGCTAGCCTTAACCTGCGGTGTGCTCCTGGGAGGGGGCCTCTTGTGGTCCATGTGTCCAAACATAAACTTAGCTGCAATGGGTGGTCAGGTAGTAAAGTATGGACACCATTTTCAGTTGAGGAACAAAGACACCTCTGAGTAAATTGTGAATCTGTTCTCCTTTGTTGTTCTGTGAGGGATAAAACCCTGTTTCTGATTACTGCAGATAATGTCAACCACCATTCAGTTAAAATCTATTCATTTGCTGTGATTTGTGCAGGTAGGTGCACCAGCCATGTTTTTTTTTTTTTTTGGTTGTACCTCTTTTTCTATAATACTTCAAACTTTTTAGAAGACTTTTTATTTTGTGTGATTTTTGAAGAGCCTCAGGGAGAGCTGGGGTGTCGGTGCACAGAGGGATTAGTAGACTTTCAAAAAGACGTGTGCGTGTGTGTGTGTGTGTGTGTGTGTGAGAGAGAGAGAGAGAGAGAGAGAGCTAGGGGGTATTGTGGCCCTGAAAAGCCTGATGTGGAGACTGATGCAGGGGGGACAATACCAGCTTTGTGTCCCCAGTCCCTATGTCCTTGGTCTTTTCAGAGCTCATGGTTAGGAGTTGGGGGAGGGGGCTACCTGTTCTGAACGTGCATGAGAAGTGGAGTAAAGTGAGCTTGTGAAATCTTTCAGACTTGTTTAGGATCTGGGTATGGATCGGAGAACTGATCAGAGTCCTGATTTGGTTCTGATCTGAACTAAACATCAGCTGTTTGAGTCCAGCTCTAAGTGCCTCATTTTCTTTAGATGAATTTAGTTGATTAAGCTGATCATGGTGAGCACATGGCATCACCTTTTTAAGCCCCTAATGATCTTATCGGATAGTCTGATGGCACTAGCTCTCATATGTTACACTTGAGTTTTTATAAGGTCATAAATAAAAAATTGCAATCAGTTAAAAGGATTTGTTTTGTATCTGGGCAGCAACAGCGGCCCCTCCCATATGGTTATTTACCTTGTTGACACAACCGGTTTGTTCCCAGACGCTTGGTCTGTGTGCCTTACTTCAGCAGGACTCTTCATGCAACAGATGTGTTTCTTTGTAGGTGGGAGAAGAAATAAAGGAACCACAACGAACTTGGTGTTTATGAATGAGCCACGGAGGCATTTAGATGCAGAATGAACTTGGCCCACACTTTGGTAGCACACCTTAGCCCAGCATATCAAAGCAGTTGCACGTTTCTCTAACGACCCATTCGCAGCTGCAGACCCCCTTCCTTCATCCACCCTCAACACACACACATTTACACCTGTGAGAGAGGAGAGAACACTCCTCCATCCACTGCTGTGATCCGTCCCCCTTCCTCCTGAATGTCTGAGACTTCTGCCTCTCCCAGTCAGAGGGACGTGCTGCGATGGTCGTGAGACAACGCCAACCGTGGTGCAGACTTAAATTTGGATGCTTTAATGGAGTTAATTCTGCTTCCTCGATCGCCCACTTTAGCCTGGTTGCACACTCTTGGTAAGCCCAAGGTTGTGATTGTGGCATTTGGTCGATTCAGTTGGAGATGAAGTGTGTATTTACTTCCCAGACAGTTGAAGAAGCCTGTGTTTGGGTGCTGTGTGGTTCATTTATGAGGAGCGTTGTTAATAAACAGCTTGCTTGGTTTGAGTTTCCAGGACTCTGTGTGGATTTTTGAGCCGGATTTTAGATCAGGTCACCTTTCCTCCCCCGTTTTCCCCTGTGTGGCCCACTGATGGTGGGACTTCTCACATAAGCGTCGTATTGATGGTGTAGAAACTGGCACCTTTTTACAAAACACCTCAATCTTCCGCCCCTTCCTCTTCCTCTGTGCGTGTAAACAAACTTATCGTAAAATTTTCACGACACGATTTCGGTTTTGTCAGTGTAACATCTAATTGGGTCACGTCCCAGCGCCCGACTCGAACAGCATTCCTTATCGCTTGTTGTGTCTCTGCAGCTGTGTCTAACCTGGACGAGGAGAGCAAGTGGACGGTTCACTACACAGCTCCATGGCATCAGCAGGAGAATGTCTTTCTACCAGGCAGCAGGCCACCCTGCGTAGAGGATCTCCATCGCCAGGCCAAAGTCAACCTCAAGACCGCACTCCGAGGTAAAGATCCCTTCATTTGGACCCCTTTAGAGTTCATGTAGTCGTGTAAAGACGACTTTTGGATTTTAGCTAATCTAATTCTAGTCCTGTTGACTAAGATGTGAGCTAAAGAATAAACGGAAATGACGTAAGAGCTCCGACAGAATCATCTTTAGTAGAAACTACTTTCTTCTTTAGTTTCTGGATTTTTTGGGATAAAAATCCAGAAACTAAAGAAGAAAATAGAACACAAAACATGAGTTAAAATTTAGGGACTCCAGCTGCTTTTGAAGCAGCTTAAACTCAAAAGTATAAACCTGAAAAGGGTTTCAGTTTTTAAATGTTTCACTCTAATATCAGTTAATGCACTTTGATGCATTTCTCATGGATTCACAGTAAAGACACCACCATGTCGTGTTTTTGGTCAACATGGTAAAATGTACGAATGCATCATTTATGTTTAGCCAACAACACAAAAGAGTGAGATCATCTTTTTGTTTGTGTGGTGGGATTAGAAATGTGTGTGTGTGTGTGTGTGTGTGTGTGTGTGTGTGTGTGTGTGTGTGTGTGTGTGTGTGTGTGTGTGTGTGTGTGTGTGTGTGTGTCCGCTGTAAATGGTTGACATTTCAACTCTAGACTGTCCTTGTGTGGCAACAGATAAAAACCAGTTAATGGTGGGAGAACGGAACAAATGGGGAACAGGGAGTTGTAACGTGATGCTCTGTTTGTTCACAACACACACACACACACTTGTTTGACTGTTGCTATTAGAAATTACTTTCTGAAATATTGATGCTGCAAGACATAAAAAGACAAAACCCATCCAGGAGGTGAGATTAATCCACCACCCCCTCTCCAGCCTGACACCGGTTGTCAGTCCCCCCCCCCCCCCCCCCCCCCCCCCCCCCCCAGGTGTCCTAACTGAAAGGACAACAGGTGTGTAACGAGAGTGCCTGTTGTGTCTATTTGCGCATCCACTTATGAAAATTAAGGGAGACTGATGGTCATAATTGTTTTATTTTTATATATAAATTATGTGTGTATATATACACACACACACACACACACACAACAGTGGACTGAGTGAGTTTTTGGTGTTAAATAGTACACCTATGCAAAAAGGGTTTTTGTAGCTTAAAGAATTTTCTTTATTTGTTTTCTAAGCCCAAGTAAGTCTCATACAGTATTTGTTCACACCAAGCCCCCACAATGCGGGTGAAAAATTGAGTCCAACGCGGAAGTACCAAAAATTGCAGTTCCACCTTCATCGACTAGGGGCTGGTGTCCGAAGCGAGCAAATCCTCATTGACTCCCATGTTAAAAATACCAATTTCACAGCAGAAATTTTTTTCTCTCACTCTTCTGTTTAAGTGTATTAAAAGTTTAAAATTCTGTATAATTAATGAGCATCAGACCCACGTGACCACAGAGCTAGCTCCGGGGATAGGCCTCAGTAGAGCCTCGGCCTCGCCTGAAAACTGTTCGGTCATTTTCAGTCTCTGAAATTAGACCAGTAGTTGTAGCGTTTGTGCGTTCTTTTTGGATATTATTTGTGCAATTGTTGGACAAAATGACTTGCTGTGGCATTAATTGCACTAACAGAGCATCCAAGGAGTCTCCACTTCATTTTTTTTCAGTAAGTAAAATTATATTTATGTATTTTAGGTCACTGCCGAGCTGAGCTTAGGTTTTAACATGTACTGTTTAACCATGAAACTTAAATGTAATAGGGTAAAACCCAGTGCATTTAACATCATGCTGCACTTTAGAAAATGGGTTGAAATATAACATGTTGGTGGAGCTGGGTTCAGACTATCGGCTTGTGGAGCTCTCGGGAGACCGATGTTTTCCACCCGATTCTCCCCTCCCCGCAGCTCGGCGCATCTGTCTGAATGCGGCTTCTGTCTGCTGCGCGGGCTGCCGGCTTGTGGAGCTCTGGGATGGAAACCTTTCCACCCGGTTCTCCCCAGCGGCAGCTCTGCGCATCTCCGATCGCAGTGGCGCTTGTCTGCTGTGCGGCTGCCGGCTTGTGGAGCTCTCGGGAGACCTCTGTGTTCCACCCGGTTTTACCCAGCGGTCAGCCCGGCGTATCTCTGACTCAGAAGCTCTGGTGTTGTGCACAGTTAACTCTGGTTGTATCTAGGTTGCTACCTCCGTTAGCTTAGCTCCCACCTCCGCGTTAGCTTTGGGTTAGCTTCAGGTTAGCTTGTAGCTAGTTCCACCGGGTGTCATCAGTTGATCCCAGCCTTACAGCCCCACCCTCAGCTCCACCTCTCTTCCCTTTTGTGGAATTGTCTGGGCTTGACGGAACCTGTGACACGGTCAAAATGGCGGTGGTGGCCACCTCCCATTTAGGCTCAAAAACGTGTTATTGGAGTCTATGGAAACCCATTGTCCAATATTTATATGTCGATGGTTCACAGTGATCAAATTTGATCAATTTATTTTTTTATGGTTGACATTGAACTCTAAAAAGACTCATCTAGCGGATCCGGAAACCTGCGATGCCAGAGGAAACTGCTAAACACCAGTCGCCATTTTCTAGGTCCAAACGTCTCTTGTTGTTCATGACTTCAAATGATTTTTTCTTTCTTTTTGGGACTCTGGTAGTTTGTCCTAAAGTTTAAATCAGGGCTATCCAGCATGGCTTTGTGGTTTCTCTAGTCCAACACACTAGATTTGGTGGTTGAACCACCTGTGCAGCAGCTGATCAGGCCCTGCAGAAGCCTGTTAATCACCTGCTGATTGAAATCGGGTGTGTTGAAGCAGAGTTAAAACCAAAACGTGCAGGAATTGAATAGCCCTGGTTTAAATGGTAGCAGCCAGCTGTTTCTCCTTCTCTGATATTATTGAGCAGAGAACCTCTCACACCTGTGGTGTTCTGTTGCTAAATACACAAGTGTGTAATTTATGGAAGACCCAGGAAAGTGCGGCGGTTCAGCAAGATTGACAACCGGATGGTCCGGTAGTTGCTTTCTGTCCAAAACGTGTTATTGGTGGAAGTTGTTAGACAAATGCGAGAGAACCACTTTCTTAATGTTTTTATTTATTTTAATTCACAGCTGTGTTAGAATGTTGTTGAGAGGCATGATAAATTGTTTTTAAGCTAAGTTGTTTTCCAATTATACAATGGTAGCTTTAAACATCATGGGCATTAGCTGGAGTCTATTTTAGCTGGTGGGAGTTGCAGTGAAACTTTTTGATGTCATGAAGGTCACAAAATGGTAACACCAATGTCATTCCAGGGTTTAATTAGTGGAGTGAATAATGGTTTTGTAAGGCTGGTTTTTCAATGGCAGCTACACAATAGCATCCACTTAAAGAGCAAGTCACCCCCAAATCAACTTACTTTTTCTGATAAACTATATAAATGCGTGTCTAATCGTGCTGCAGACACGTGTAGTCAATAGTTTTGCACTTTAGTGCATTTTAGGTAAAATTTTAATTTTCTGCCTAAAACCGTCAGTGTTGTGCCGTTGTCAGGTAAAAACTCTGCACTGCATTTGAATTTAAATCTGCCTTCATTATTGGCTTAGAGGTACCCCAGAACGTTAGCTGGTACCATATGATGTCACAATGTTGTTGTGAGCCTGTGTGTGTGTATTTGTTAGCGGCTCTGCCCTCTCGGTCTGCTAGGCAACAGCATTTGTTGCATTTTTCAAACAGGAAGTGGGAGTTGAGTAAGAATCTGGTAGGGGGTGACTTGCTCTTTAAGCTGCATACCTGTAACATATTTTATTATAAAAGTATTTTTGAGGGAATATGACTCACTGCTGTGTACTAACTTTAATTTGCTCTGAATTAGGCTGTGCTGCACCTTGTTTCCAGATTCTGCAGAGGTCTCAAAAGTCTTTATTTAAACCTAAAAATGTTGCTGTTGTGGTACTGAAATTAAAGCGTCATTTCTTTGGATAGTCAAGATATTTTAGAAGTACTTTGAAGACTAAATAAAATATAGTAAGATGCGACCGGCTTTTTTTCCCCCAACCAATCACATAGTGACTCAGAAAAACGACCCTTAATTATACAGTTGTGCCTAGCAACAAGCAGCATTATCAGTCATCCCCATCACGCGCCACAGATCATCTTAACATATCCACTTGTCATCATCCTTATTATAAATACCCTTCCTAATTCCCATCTTCCATGCTGTCACCTTGTTGTTACAGTAGCTTCGTATGCTAGTCCCATCAGAATCCATTAGCAGACACGTTTAACATGCATCAGTGTTGCTCTCCTTAGAGGTGGGCCACAGTTGGCTCTGGAGATGAGATGAATATGAAAAGGCATCAAAAGCATCCTCTTTGCGGCATTGCGCTGATGGGAATATGAATGCACTCTGATACAGAATTGATCATGATCCTTATTTAACAACTCTAGAGATAAAAAAAATCAACAGGATTTTCTTTACGTGTGTTAATAAATAACATGGTGATTCTAAATATCCAATCAGATCAAATCAGAAAGACGTTCTTTTAAAGTAACTTCATCTGTTTAAAAATACCTAACAAAAACATGCTTGACTTGCTTTTCTCTAGAAGATAGATGCACAAGACGTGCAGTGGATTAATTATTGTGCATTAAAGGAAAAAACACAGGATGCACCAGTAAAATCGTCGTCGTCGTCGTCTTCCTCCGCTTATCCGGGTCCGGGTCGCGGGGGCAGCATCCCAACTAGGGAGCTCCAGGCCGTCCTCTCCCCGGCCTTGTCCACCAGCTCCTCCGGCAGGACTCCAAGGCGTTCCCGGACCAGATTGGAGATGTAACCTCTCCAACGTGTCCTGGGTCGACCCGGGGGCCTTCTGCCGGCAGGACATGCCCGAAACACCTCCCCGGGGAGGCGTCCAGGAGGCATCCTGACCAGATGCCCAAACCACCTCAACTGGCTCCTTTCGATCCAGAGGAGCAGCGGTTCTACTCCGAGTCCCTCCCGAATGTCCGAGCTCCTCACCCTATCTCTAAGGCTGAGCCCGGCCACCCTACGGAGGAAACTCATTTCGGCCGCTTGTATCCGCGATCTCGTTCTTTCGGTCATTACCCAAAGCTCATGACCATAGGTGAGGATTGGGACGTAGATCGACCGGTAAATCGAGAGCCTGGCTTTCTGGCTCAGCTCCCTCTTCCCCACGACAGATCGGCTCAGCGTCCGCATCACTGCAGACGCTGAATCAATCCGCCTATCGATCTCCCGATCCCTCCTACCCTCACTCGTGAACAAGACCCCGAGATACTTAAACTCCTCCACTTGAGGTAGGACCTCTCCCCCGACCCGGAGGTGGCAAGCCACCCTTTTCCGGTCGAGAACCATGGTCTCAGATTTGGCACCAGTAAAATGTTGCAGAAATACAGAAACAGAGCAGCAATGTGCTGAGCACCCCTGACGAGGAGGATGGAGTTGAGAAAGGGATGGTTCTGCCATCTGTGTATGACAGACTGAAACTGATGCCACCTCCTCTGGTTACACACACACAGGCACGCACACACACTTCTCTTTGGTGCACATTCACACATCGCATCCTCAAGACAGCAGGTGGTGACAAGATCCAAAAGGGACAGAACACTCGCTAACACACTGAAACAAACTGTAGCATATTTTACTACACACACCAAATAGATTCATCACAGTTCCTCCACCTGTGGTGTTCGTAGCAAACAAATGGACAGGGAAGCTTGTTACAACCGTTGCTATATGCTCTTCATGTGCATGGCAACCATATTGGATTCAGAAGCTGGAGATTTCCAAAGTTCAGAGGTTGTGCCAGTTTATTTCTGTAATCTGTAACTCCCAAATAAAGTAGAACATACCTCATGTGTGAGATTCATATGGACCTTCCTGATCTTCTACATCAGCGATGACTAAATCAGTGTCTGTCGCCAGTGAGACAAAAGCTCCAAGCTGTTGGTTCATGTATCATTGGTCATAATCTTATGGCTGATTACAAACTTTTGCAGGTCTAGCTCATTTCTTATCAAGTGGAGGTCAAAACAATTTGTTTGCAATTCATAAAATGTTCACAATGTTCATTCATCAAGCAATAATTTAAGTGTAGTTCTTAAAACTGCAGCTGTTAGGATTTCTGAGCTGTTTCTATGTTTGTTTTGCAGAATGTGATAAGTTGAGGAAGGATGGTTTCCGGAGCTCTCAGTACTACTCTCAGGGTCCGACCTTCTCTGACCCCAAACAGTCCACCAGCAGCCTGCAGGACGATGAGGAGGATGAAAACGACAACAAGGTGTGTAAAACGTAATGCACACACAATCGTCAGCCCTTTTAGTTTTCGTTCAGGTGCATAAAATGTTTTTATTTGTGCTTTTTTCCCTTTGTGGTGCTTCGTTTATTAAACAGCTCCATACTGCCCTCTAGTGGTCATAAGTGAAAGCACTGGTTGCTTTTTTATAAACATAAAGTGGAACTAATGAAGCCTAGTGGAACACAGTATTTAGAATTAAACACGTTTTGATTTTGATTTTATTTCATGATGTTTGTTCATATTTTCGGGATTTTTCTATTCATAGATTGTGAAGTTTCTGTTTGTAGAAATTATTTTACACACAAATATTTATTTATTTAGATACTTGGGACAGTTTAAAAGCCTTTTTCTTTTTTTAATTCCTCAGCAGGTGTTTAATTCTTACTAGGGTTTTCTTTGTCTTCCAGAGCTTTGCGATGCACAAGTTTCTGCCTCTTGTTTTGTTATTCATGCAAAACAAACTTACCTCCTCATTGCAGTCTCAGTCCTGCCCTTCCCCTGTTCTGTCGTTTATTGCTCTTCTTCTCTCATTCCTGTTGCTTCCTGTTGTTCTGAAGCCACAGAGTATAACTTTGTTTGACAGCAGCTTTGAATGGGGAAACTGGGCTCCTGGTTGAACGGCAGCGATGGAAAATAGCAATTCCTGCTTTCAACAAACTTGTTTGGTCTCAGATGTCACATATATGGCCAGTCAGTGTGTTAGGAGAAACCATAGTATTCTTTAGAGGATATCTGGTGAATACCAGATATCTTATTCTTGAAATAACAAACATCTTCCTGTTTTTAAAGACCGTTCACGTTTAAAATGCTGAGAAGATTCAACTGAGTGGCACTATAAAAGGGAGGACCGATCAAAGAGGTTTCTAGGATCAATTGTGATAAAGGTGAACAATTTGAACATTCAGAAAACTCAAAATGATGGGTTAGCTGTAGGCAGGATTAAAAGCTTGGACATGGCAGTAAACCATCGCTGTCTGTTGATCCCTTCAGTTTAATGACCGAGGACTTTTATTGTGGCAGCTCAGTTTAATGCTCGAGTGATTCTCTCTGTCTCTCTAGCTTTTATCCTAGAGAGTCAGTTCTCTCAGAAGGCTCGTGTGTTTGTGTGAGTGTTTCCATTTGGATCCCGTCGGTCATGAAACACGTTCACAGCACCAGAAGCATCTAAAGGTCATGTGGTTTTTGTCTTTCCCTCCTGATCATCTCTTAAATAGTTTTTCTTTTTCTTTTAGTCGTCCGCTTCATCCATGGATGACGACAAGTCGCAGCTCTCCATGAGGTCCCAGACACCACAGGGAGGAGGTGAAGTAGGGGACACGTCAGAGGTTGATGGACAGGTGGTATGGGCAAAGGTCGCTCTCCTCCCGACCCCAGAGGAGAAGATGAGGCGAGCTGCTCAAGCTGTGCCCACAGATGTCGTCCCCATCAACGTCACAGGTATGTCACACCTCCAGAGAAGAATGTTCAACCGGAGCAGCGAGAACAGAACCATCAGTGTTATATAAAATTAAATCATCCTGAGAGCTTTCTGCATAGCCAGCTATAGATGTCCTGGTAGTTTTTGAAAGTCATCTATTCTATTATTATTATTATTATTCACTCATTTTCAGATTTTTTTATTTTTCGTTTAATTTTATTATCCTCATTTTGACACAAAGTCTCCCAAAGTCAATGGATAAGACAGGAAAACAAAACTTTAATCCCTTCTCCAGTATTTTTGTTGAACCTTTTTCAAATACACCAATTAACTGTCCCGACACATAAAACAGAGGCTGATCGAGTATAACAGAGTATTTTAAATTACTATCAAGTATTACTCATTTGGTGAAATGAGAAAAACAAGTAAAAAAAAAGGTTTTCCTTTAACGAGGTTGGGTGGGTGCAGACCAACCAGCAGTATGAAGTTATCTACTGAGAGAACTGTCAGTCATGGATGCCTACCTCCTCTATACTCTTCTCATCATGCTTCTATGAGACTGACCTTCAGCCTTTTTTTATGCATGTGTGGACGAGTGTGTGTGAAACTCATCTGACAGCTTCTCCAGAGGTCAGGGCTTCTCGCTGGCTTTATGGCGTCTGTTTGACTGATGGACGCGCGAACACAGCAAAACGTGTTGGCACAATCCCCCTGTTAGCGTGACATATTGTCCACTTTTCCCCACCATTCATGATCAATGCACAGTCATAGATGAAACATTTTAGGCCGGCTGTTTAAAAAATGAAAATAGTCTTTTGATTTATCCAAGAGATTATTTTTGGAGCAAGATCATTGGTGCAAATGCTTGACAAATCCTAGTGCAACATTGACCGTTTTGACTGATGTCAAGGCTGATTTAACTCACCACCCGTCTCCTATACACACCACTTAGAGATTAATGTGGTCTGAGCCTACACACACCTCATCAACCTCACCCATTGTCACTTCAGGTTACTGAGTGAGTCCTCCTGCAGACACAGTGTGATCGGGGGCTGTTCGGTCCCATTGAGTAGGAGTGTGATTGACGCCATCGATCATCATATCAGACTCTGCTTCCTCAAGGCCACCGACCTGCCACCAGCTAACCAGGAAGCACAGAGAAGAGCATTTTGTAAAGATATCGCTCCTCCTGAAGGGAAACTAGACAGTGAGAATAGTTTGAAACTCTCCGTTTGTATGATTAAGCACACATTGTCTCATCTTTTGCATCCTATGGATTGAAAGCATGTTTTCTGATGAGTGTTGCCCCCATTTGAAACAAAAGTAGCCCATCAGCCAGACAATTATCTTGAGACTTTGATTTAAAGAAAAAGAAACTCCACATGAAATGTTTACACCAGAAAAACATAATCTCCTAAAAATGGAAAAATATAACGTAAGCTTAAGTTTTATGCTAATTTCCATAATTAGATGCCACTTTTTACCATTTTAGAAGCAAGGTATTCTGGGAAATTTAGCTATAAGGAATAATCAGATTCATCATTTAGTAATGATTTAAAAAATATATATGTTGCTTATAAATGTGATTTCATGAATTTAAAGGTGCAGTGTGTAAGATTAAAGTAAAATTTCTACAGTGAAATAATCTCAAAACAGTCTAATGTTTCAGTCATGTTGGAAGGAAGGTTATACTGAAACATATTTCATTCTTTTTTACTTTCAAAATAAAAGAAGGGGCATAGCTGTTAACCATCAGTGAGTGTGGGGTTGCCATGTCTCTTGCAAGCTAATACTGCAGAGTCAGCCATTGTAACACGGCTACGGCCATCAAAAAGCTTCAGAGTTGTTTAAAGAACCAAAGCCAGTGACAAATGACCCAAAAGTTATTTCTTGTACCCCTAATGGGCTCGACACACGGGAGGCGACATCGCCTCTCCTCCATTCATTTTCAATGAGACATGCGCGACAAAGCGATAATCGCGGGTCTCTCTCCTACTGAGCGAAACGCGAAAAACGTGTGTGTGAAAGTTTGCACTCGTGCACGTGTCGTGCACGTACGACCCAGCGACGCGATCCCAGAAAGTTGAAACATTTTCAACTTTTCATCGCTGTCGCTCAGACGAGGACCAGTCAACGGAGGTTTCATTCACTGACCAATGAGCGGACAGGATGCTCCGTACATCTCCGAGCAAACATGAAGGAGAAGTTGATTATTATTATGTTTTATAGTAAAATCAGAAGTAAGATTTCACATAACTCTAGCAGCACCTTGTGAAACATTATATCTACCACTTTTTTTTAACTCTGAACCGCTTAAATAACCTTAATTCCCTCCAACCTGACACAGCCAAACTAAACGACGGAAGTTTCGATTTCGCAATGGAACAGAACTCGTAGACGGCTTTTCCGCTGGCCGCTGCCGCGGATCGCCTCCCGTGTGTCAGGTAATAAAAGCGACAGCGACAAATTTCGCTGATCGCGGTCGTTTGTCGCCTCCCGTGTGTCGAGCCCATAAGAAGCCACGACATCTTTTTGCTTTATTCTAATATCGGGTAAAGAAGGCTAGAGGCTAACGTTGAGCTAACAATGCTAATGGTGAATTAACAACAAATAGTCTGCTCTAAAAACGTCTCAAGCTATTTTTTCAATTACCAACAACTCAATATTGCAGTATGTGTGAAGTGAATAATGGTGTTTTACTTCCTTAAACGAGTCGTTCAGAGCACAAACAGCAAGAGGGTAAAAACACTTACTCTATTCCGGAGGCAAATAAATGTAGTAAGTACTCCCTACCAAAAACATCAAAGAGTGCTAGCACCAGATATGACAATGTATTTAGTTACTTATCTACTTACTGTGTATGACTCGTCTTTGCTTGTCATCTAGAATCTTCTGATGCTGATCCGTAACTGGCAACAGCCATGACACTCATGGAACAGAAGTGAGAGAGTGATTGCAGTAACCACATTTGGCCACAGGATGTCATTTTTACGTCATTCTTACATAATGCACCTTTAATGTTAACTTATACCAACCCTCAAATGATACTCCCATGGCATAAGCCCTGTTTACCTTTAGCTGATCTGTTCGTAAACTGTGCAAATATAATTTGCTGGTCTTATTTTGCACTTGAGGTTCTGAGCAGATTTGTGCTTTAAACTAAAAAAAAATTCTGATGCATCAATATTAAAGTTTTCTCTACTTTTGTTCAAAACCCGAACAAGTGCATCTAAGACTATTAGCTAAAACAGTTAGCCATGGGGAAGGTGGACGGGTGAAGAAATGTTTCTTGTATCCTGTTTAAACTCACCTTCGTGTTCCCTCACCTGTTAACGTTGCATGTTTAACTTTTTTTAAAACCCTCTGCATGTCGTTGAGTTTGTTCCTTCTGACTAACCGACTGCTGTTTGCCTGTTTGTCCGCCTGCTGTCGCCCTCCCGGCCACCAGGGGCAGTGTTTGACCGCCAGGCAAGCATCCGGCGCTCCCTCATTAACACTGACACCGTGTCTCGCCGGCCCAAGAAGGTCAAACGCAGAAAGACAATTACAGGGCTGCCTGACAACATCAACCAGGAGCTAGGTATGGATGACTGGAGCTCCATGTTGCCCTCTGCTGTCTACAGACCTGAACTGCAACTCTGCATGAACATACTTCACTCTGTCCATCACAACCTTCTTTCCTGTTTATCAAACACACAAAGCCCTATTTTGCATTATTCCAAGAGTCAGACCTCACGTGTGAGCTCAGTGTTGGATCAATGCCTTGCAGCTGTTTTCTGCTGATTTCATCGTCCTCATTTGCTCTCCTCCGCCCAGTTCAACCTCAGTCGTTGCCAAGAACCAGTTATGAATTCCTTTCCTTGAGTTTCTGGTTTTAGTTCTTCTCGTACAATAGTTTTGTAGAACTGTAAGTTCTCTTTTCAACATATCACTTGTTTATTTGTCTCACCTGCTTGGATGTGACAAGTTGCATTCATCATGTGTCCCTGTTTTAGATACTTCATTTTAAAAATGAAGGTTCAGAGGTTCCCTAACCGTAGTTACTCATCAGAATCAGGTGTTAGGCTGGCATGCTCTGACGGCGCATCCTGACTGTTTATTTACACATCACACGGTCACCGCTTTCCCAGGAGAACATCTCGTTTCTCTGTGAGGTCACAGGGATCCCACAGAGCGATAAGAAAACCGCTTTAAAGTCTGGTTGTGGATCTGTTGACTTCAGCGCCTGACTGTGATGACTGTTGCAGCTGGGTAATTGTCCCAGCGCTACACACACACACACACACACACACACACACACACACACACACACACACACACACACACACACACACACACTACAGCTGTCTGCAACGAAGACCTGCAGCTTAATCTATCTCGGTTGCAGCAGCAGGCGAGCTGTCAGTCTGGTTTTTAGCAGAGGAGAGAGAGAGAGAGAGGTTGCATGTGTGGTTTAGTGATGGGAGAGGAAGAAAAGGACGCTGAAGGTGTGTTTGTTTTGGGATATGAGCGTCATCAGGGAAGACGTAAGACATCCTCTATTTGTACACCTGTTCTCTAGAAGGTGCAGCAGCTGTTATGGTCAGTGTGTATCTTTGTAACTTATGCATTTGTGTGTGTTTGGTGTGTGTGTGTACCGTGTCATTGTGTTAGCATCGTTGATGTGTTTGCTGCCACATGCTTCACCAGCGGCCTGTCTCAGACATAATTCGCTTTACTGGAGCTAGAACGAGGTTCAGAGGGGAAGCAGAGTGGAGTGTTTCTCGTATCTGCTTCCCCTCGTGTCATTTCCACCTAATGAAGAAAACCAGGCGGCATTAGCACTAACGACAGGGCTACAACAAACCTGTTCAATCACCACAGTTTATCTGACAGAGCGGTCAGCAGAGTGCGAGGCTTCGATGTTGAAGAAGTTATTGATGTATTTTATCTTCTGTTTCTTTCGCCGCAGCCAAAGCGCGAGGAGGAGAGCTTCGGCCACAGTCCATGTTCATCCCCGGGCAGTACTCTACTCTGGGCCGAGTTGGGAGCGTGAACTCAACACTCCGACATTCTGACGTGAGCTGCCAGACGGAGGAGGTGAAGGTCGTTCCTCCGTCTGTGAGAAGGATTCGAGCACAGAGGGGGCAGGGGATCGCCGCTCAGATGGCCGGGTTATCTGCTTCCTCCTCAACGGGAACGATCTCCATCTCCAGCTGTGACAGCTCTGGTGTCCTGATGCTGCCGCAGTTCAACGGAGACCCTTCTCGTTTTCACAGTCTTCCCCGACAGGGCGCCAGGGTGTCCCTCAGCGCTGATCCCATCTATACCAGCACACCCATCAAGTCAGAGGATCAGCCTCAGAGGCAGATTGGGAAGCTTCAGGTAGACAACACGGTGGTGCACATGAGGAACGCTCCAAGGACAAACTTGTTGCCCAGACCGAAGTCTCAGGAGGTGAGGGGGACCCAGTCCAATGAGTGGGGTGACAGTACAGCATGCGTGGTGTCCCCTCATGCTGCGTATTCCACTTCTTACATTCCCAACGCCACCCTCTCCTGCTCCACCGAGGTCATGACTCTGAACATGTCCAGTCAATTACTTCAGTCATCTGTCTCGGCTCACAGTACAGCCCGACCACCCAGCGTGGCCTCCTCCACCAGCACCAACCACCTGACCTCCAGCCCAACTGCTTTTTCCCACAGTTCCACCTGCCCAGCTTTGGCTACTTCAACCCCTAAACACGCACCTCAGGAGGGGGGGCCGACAGGATCAGGGCCCGCTAGCGAGTCTGGTCACTCAGACAGCAGCCTCCACAGCCACAGCACCCTGGCCCCCACCCCTCCATCCTGTCCACCAGAGGAACAGTGGATCTATGATGCACCAGAGAACATTGTGGCTTCACACCGCACTCTGACCTCCAGCTGCTCCACTCCCATCAACCAGCTCTATAGCAGCCTGGACCACTCTTCCAGGACCACAACCGACTCCAGCTCCCTCTACTCCCAGGACAATGATGGCTACTACACCTCCATGCACTTGGACTCTGGCCTGCGCTCTCGGAGTCATGGTAGCGGACATGGGGTAGCAGCTGGACGGGCCACTAGACACAGCATGTATGAGTGCCGTGAGCTGGCCAACCAGGAGGACTCTGGAAGCCTCTACAGCGACCGCTCTCTGTCCCGCAGCATCTCCCTTCGCAAGACTAAGAAGCCGCCTCCTCCCCCAGCTCGCACAGATTCTCTCAGACGCAAACCTGCTACGAAGAAGCCACTCGGAGGCGTCAGCGCCCTCGGCGGCGCCCGGGATCCAAACAGCAGCACACTGAATGAAACTCTTATTGCCAGCTTGCAGCAGAGCTTACAGATGGGGCTGAGAGGAGGCAAGGGAAAAGGCGCTTCACCATCTTCACCTTCCAACAGTCCAAGCAGCGACTACGACGACCCCTGGGTTCTGCGTGCACGCAGCCAAAGCAGCATCAGTGTGTGCAGCTCTGCGGCGTCACTCGCAGCCAACGGCGGCGTTTCTAGTGTGTACTCGTTATGCCATGTGACTCCAGCCCACAGCGACACCAGCAGCCTGCGCTCCGACTACGCCGACTCCTGGGGCTACTACACAGACTACCCCCGTAACCACGGAGACCAGAATGTGCAGACTCCAACCCACGGTGCAGAAAACGTGGCGGCTGGGGGTCATCCAGGAACGTTACAGAATGGAGGAGAGATTCACACCAATCAGGCTCAGGGAGCCCCAGACCAGGAGGGAGGGGGGTCGGGGAAGGTCAAACCTACGAGCTCCTCACCAGACAGGGTGCACAGGCTCACCTCCCCATCCAGTGGCTACTCCAGCCAGTCCAACACCCCCACAGCTGGAACCCCCGTCCCTGCCTTCATCAGGTCCATGTCCCCCTCGGGCAGCCGGCACAGACCCAAAGTGCCAGAGAGGAAGTCTTCTCTCCTCTCCTCGGTTTCTGTCTCCTCATCCTCTACTTCTCTTTCCTCCAACACTTCAGACTCACTGAAGAGCTCTGGTCCTCCTCCACCCGTGCTGCTCACTTCCTCAGCTCCCAACACCCCTCTCAGCCCACCCCCACCCTTCCCTCCGCCTCTGCCACCAAGTTGTGCTGCAGATCCCCCCTCTCCGCCACCACTTCCTCCCCCGCTCATAAACACCCCTGAGGGTTCCTCCCTGGGCCCCCTCCTCGCTTGCTCCACCTCCTCAGAATTCCCCCCTCCTCCTTCCCCAGACATGCTGATCCACACCAGTTCTTCCTTCAATGGGAGCTTCAGTCCGCCCTCTCCTCCTCCTCCTCCTCCTCTCTCCTCCATGGGCCCACCTCCACCTCCTCCCCTGCCTCTTCTCATCCCAACATCCTTCTCGCCTAAGAAGGCGGCGAAGGTTGCTCCTAAACCGGATCTGTCAGACAGCCCCACAAAGCCACTTAAGCCCCTGATTACTCCGTTTGCCCTGCAGAGTGTTCAGCTCCGTTCGGTCAGACGACCAGAAAAGGAGATCAGTGACGAATCAGAAAACATCCAAGCTCAGGAAACCCTTCGTAGTGTGGATCCCCACGCCGAAGAGTCATCCTACACCCTGACTCTGTTGAACGGCTCTTCAGAGGATGATTTACGTAAATCCTCACCGTCCCCTGTGTCAAAACTTCTGGAGGAGTTGTCCCTGGACTGCAGTGTCATAGACGAAACACCAGATGGTGCTGTCATCTACAGCAAAACGGAGGACCAGAGATTCTGTGTTTTAAATGCAAAACAAGATGAGGAGGAATCTCTGTCCAGTCTTCCTCGGAGCTGTGAAAGCTCTCCCGTCAAACAGAAACCTCCAGCTGTCTCCAAAAAACCCCAACTGTCTTTTGCCCCACCGTTTAACCCCCAACCAGTCGACGAACATGCCCCACCTCGGTATGAGGGCAGTCCAACAACAGAAGACCAAGTGGACGCAGTGCAGAGACAAACGGCGGAGGAGGAAGTGGAGGACACTCCAGAGAGTTCAGAGCTGTCGGCTGATGAGAGAGAGACATTTGTTGACTTTCAGGAGTCCTGTGTCAGTGCTCCTAGCCAGGAGACAAGTCCTGACCACAAACTTTATCCTAATGGAGATGTTTATGAGGAGGAGGAGGAAGATGGATTGAGCAGCACCACAGGGTCCATCAGCTCCAAGGAGGACGAGACAGGTGAGACAGGCTGATCGTTTAAGATTTTAAACTAAACCGTTTAGATCAGAACTCCAGGTAGGTCCAGACACACGTGTACAGCTCCTTAAACGGCTGTGAAATTAGTTTTTTCCTCCAAAGTGAAGGAGCTCAACTTGATTCCAGAAGCCTTTAAAGATTTAAAACTGTGAAAACCGAGTGAGAGCAGCAGCTTATCACTGGGACAGCCGTGCCGCAGCCTCATGAAATCTCATACTCTCCTCCACCATCCTTATGGATTTTATTTATGCTGAGTGCTCTCACAGCTGCTGTCCCTTCTCTTTTCTCACCTCACATTCTCTTCAAAAACCCTTTATCATCCATCTGTTGGTCCAGGTTTCCATTTTTGTCTGAATCTCAATCTTCGGCTTAATCTCTCATCCTCAGTCCGTCCTGCTTCCTTTTCATCCCGTCCCCTCTGTGAGGTAAGGAAGGGGGCAAGTGTCCTAGGGGAGATGCTTTTTTTCCTGTGGTTGGAGGGAGATGAGGGGGAGGGGCTGCATTGTATTGGAGGGGAGGTGGGGGTGAGTGTAAAGTGTGTGACTGCATTCAGCGACTCAGGCAGTCGAAGCTCAGATGTGAGCAGAGAGGAGGAGGGAACCTATAGATGGAGAAAATGTGAGAAGACCGTCCCGTCCTCTGGTGTTGGAGTGAACTGCTTGTCTTTCTGTCTCAGGTGAAGTTTTTGAATTAGCTGAATCGTCTCCGGTCCCATCAGCCAACGGGGACGCCATGGTGACCCCAACACCAAACCAGCCCCGAACCACCGAGGACCTCTTTGCCGCCATTCACAGGTATCCTATGCACTCTTCTATTCTGTGTCTCATTTGTCACCCCGTCCACCTTTTAATCAGAACTTTACCCACGCAGCAGCGTCCCACACCAGCCTGGGACGAAGTGGACCTTTCTGTTTCTGTCCCTTAAAGGGACAAGCGACGACATTTCAGAAGCCAGAATGAGTCACGGTCCAAATGATGGCATCTGTGCTCGTGTAGTCACGTTGTCGTTGCTCAATCTCAGCAGGAAGAGAAAAAAAAAGACTTGCTTCATTTATTATTGAACTACTCGACACCCTCTGGTCCTAATCTGGGTTAGAAGCCACTAGAGATGTCTCCCCATTCCTGCTTCTTTTTCTGCTCACACACACCACTCTCATGCTCTCTGACATATATGCATACGTGCTCCCGTGTTCCAAAGACATCATAAATTTATCATGCAAGCCCACCAGTGTGCGTTTCAGTCACGTGCCGCGGCAGTCTTGAGTTCTCATGAGCACGGCAGGGCTTAATTTCATGGTTTTATGTGTTTATGGTGCCAGCATCACATGTTTGTGAAGTCTGATTAGACGTGGAGATTGGGTACATCTCGGTACTGCTCCTCCTCCTCTAACACCTCGGGGTTGTGGAATAATTTTACAGATTAAGGACGGGAAGTTTTAATATTTTATCTGCAAAGATTGGGGTCAAATTGAGAAAATAAAAGCATCAGTTTTAGTCGTCATTCCTTCTCCAATGAAAATCCTCCACAGCTGCAGCGGTAATCACGACGTATCTTGAGGGAGATCCTCCAAGCCGAACACCACGCAGCCTAGAGGAAGAAATCAATCGAGTGCTTTGAGCGATGGCTCGTATTTCAGACGGGCTCACCTCTAAAGCTGACAGTTGAGTTTGGAGTCAGGTGCACGCGTTATCGTCTGAGAGAAAACTCTTATGCAATACTAATGTGACGAGGGAACGCCGCTACATCAGGAGGAATTTAGGCCACAGACCTATTTTTGCATTCTTAAATCGAAGGGATTCAGATTCATGCTTCAGCGTCTTACTTCCTTCTGCCCTCGCTCTTGTTTTGACCTTCAGCTGGAGGTTTATTCTCTCTCTGGTTATCGGTTTTGCAAGAGGAAGTTCTTCTCCAGAATTAAACCTGAGGATTACAGAGTTGGACTTCACGTTTCACTCTTCTACCTCGAGCCACCAACTTTGCTGTGGGCATTTTCCCTGTTTGGTGTTCTGGGATTAATTCCTTTTAAGATGGTCTGCAGAGCTGCAGCTTTTGTAGTCAACCCTCTGAGAAGTTCTTTTAACCAAAATGTAAAACTTTCATTTCTCTCCTGCTGTGAGACATTAAGCCACCAGCATGGGCTTTAAAAAGGCCATTTTGTTCAGTTTTATACAACCGAATGTGTAAAAAGGCGATTTCGATATCTGGATCTGATTATCTTTACAAAACTGCATCAGACAGTTGCTTTTTTGTCTTTATTCAGCATTGATTAGCCTAACATTAGAGATGCACTTAGTCTGGATTAGAGGGCCAATTTTATTCCAGAGAACTTTTTCCAACTTTGATTAATTTTAAAATCATAACTCATTAAGTCATCCTTCTGTTATTGTTTATGTGAGTTCTTGCTTGGTGGTGAGTTCATGATCTAGGAAAAATATTGTTTATTTGCACTTTGCTAATGTTTCCAAACATCTGGTTCATTTGTTTATTTTTGAATCCACAGGTCAAAGCGAAAGGTTCTGGGTCGTAGGGAGTCTGAAGAAGACAAGCCCCGTTCTGGGACCCATCCTCCGTCCCCCCCTTCTTTGTCCCCGGGGACGGTGTCCTCCCTGCAGCGTCAGGCTAGCAACATCCAGAGAAACCTCCGCAAATCTTCCACCAGCAGTGACTCCTTCAAGGCCCTGCTCCTGAAAAAGGGGAGCCGCTCTGAGACCAGCTTCAGGATGTCCGCCGCTGAGATGCTTCGCTCCACCGACCCACGCTGCCAGCGGACGCGCTCTGAGAGCTCGTTAGACCCTCCTGCTTCACCATCCTCGCCGCTCACCCCACACAGCCCCTCTATGTCTTCCGGCCGTGGCAAGAGGGCAACAGAAATGGAATGGAACCGCTATGACACCTTCACGCTGTATTCACCAACCTCATCGCCCTATTCCATGGGCGGGTCAAAGTATGGACGTTCACGCACGCCGCCCTCTGCTGCCAGCAGCAAATATAACGCTCGGAGCCGAATCCTCAGCAGCCCAATGACTGTGATCTGTGAGCGGGAGGGGGAGCTGGCTGAGGGCGAGTACGGAGATGCGGCTGATGGTCCATCTGGACCGACAGTCCAGAATCTGTCTGTGCTCAGTGACGCCAACGGCACTTGATGAGCGAAACTGGTGTGGAACGTAACCGGGAGCGGGGGTGGGGGGCTGAAGGAGGAGCCAGCAGAAGTCACTCAGAGACGTCCTCTCGAACCCAAAACCTCCTTGGTGCTGCTTTTGGAGGAGCGGCGTCCTGACGTGAGCCCAGAAGTCGCCTCCTCACGGACAACAGAACACAGTTTGGAGAGGAGAACTTATTCTGTTTGAGTTTCAAAACTTCCATGATTTTATTTTCTCCGCCTGTTTTTAAGTTTTTAAAACCTTTCAGTTTGTTTGGTTTTTGTTTTTAATCATCCTTTGAGTTTGTTTGAAGGCCAGAGCTAATATGGCAAACTAAATGGAAGTGAAGGAACTAAAATGTGAACGTTTCTGCGCCGTAGCAAAGCAAAGCTGGAACGCGGGGAACGCACAGGTCGATCTTTTTGTTTGGATTATAAATGACTGTTTATAAGGAAAGTCGTGGAAACTGACCCAAAACCCCACGGTACAACTTCAGCTGCGGGTGTCGCCAGCTTTCTGCTCATTCTTCCACCTTTGTTTGGCATTTTTAGCTCAGTAGCGCCACCTGGTGTTGGGATCAGAGTGGACAAAATCATAAAATGTTGATTTTTAGTTTGTAGGTTTTGCACTGTGCATAGATCTTTGTGACTTTAAAGTACGTTTTAAAGATCTCCGTGGGTTGTCTTGGGAGTTAAATATAAAACTATAAATGTATAGTAAGAAAACTTTATTTTATTGTCCCGGTCTTTTAGTTTTCATGTGGGTAACCAAAGAGTAAAAAAATAATTAAACAGAACAGGCTGTTAATCTGAGTGTGAATTTTTCATTTCATATAGTTCTGCTGTAAATAAACAGAAGCAATTGTGATTTACATTTATATATATATATATTTTTTTTACAAACAAATAGTACATTTTAGACCAGTTGGTTTATTGGTTATAAAAACAGCTTCTGGTGAATCAGGATAGGAAAAAGTGGCCTGAGGGAGAAGTCTCATTTATGCTTAAGCCTTCCTAATCTTGAGTGATGCGAGTCCCCCGTTAGGATTCGCAGAGGAGTAAATGTTTCTCTTTAGATTTATAAACAGGGTGACGGGAGTGAGATGCTGCATGGTTTAATCACCTGTGACCAGAGTGAGCCTCCAGCTCCCTGCTTGCTGTGATTGAGGGTCTCATAAAACCTCTCAATCCCACAGGTTTGTCACCGGCTGACGGACAGAAGAGGGGGCCGAGCCTCATGTGTTTGTAATAAAAACCGATATTTAAAGAGCATGTCTCTCATCTGTGTGATTCACAGCCATCTGCCAGCCTGACACCCTGAATCATAGCCTCATTAGCATCGTTGCCATAGCACCCACGCTTGTCCATCATAATGAGAGCTCCAGGGGCTATCTTTAACCCCTCTTCTGCAGAGGGCTCATCAGTTATGTCTCTTTCTGGACATCCCATTAGGATTTAGACTGACATACAGCCCCAGACCATTCCAGATCCCCGCTCTGCCGCACCAAACCTGGCTTCTCACCGTAACCTCTTAACAGCACGGTTAACCATCAGTTCTCCTTTTGCTATTTTCACCACATTTTCGTCCTCTGACTCAGCTGTCCTCTGACGTTCCACCAGCAGCTTCACAGCTGTCAGATGGGAATCAATACCAACTCCTCCCAGCTGTAAACACTTCATTGACACTCGTCTGCTTAATCCTGTCTTCTTTTCGAGTACATCTGTACGGCGTCCTTACACTGCACGATAATTGGAGGGGATCAGCTCTATTGACCCAAACTCTGTAGATAAATCAGGATTAGTAACATCCTCTGAAACGGCTGAGTCAGCAGTGCTGCTGCCTGATTTAGAAAGTGAAAAAGTCTGTTTATCATCCTGTTCTGGTGCCTTTCGTTTAGCATTTCTCCCAATAAACAATAATTAAATTTTGTTTAAGATGGTGCCACTTCCTGGGTAATTCATTTGCAGGCTTCCATCTTAGCCCCATCATCAAGCTCGATAAAGGCCAAAATTTATTGCTACTGTCTTAAAGTAACAGTTTTTAAAACTAAGCTAGAGCTTTAACATTGATCTCAGCGATTGGTGAGTTAGAATCTTGACCAGTTTCATATTTGACACCACTCTGCAGCCCTCTACTGGCCAATACCTGCACCAGATAGTTTTGTGGAGCGGGTAGGTGTCTAGGCCATATCAGTCCCAATACTCACCCTGCGGTCTTCAGCAAAGTGCACATGGAGAAAATGCGCTGTAGGGCTTCGAGTGCGTGGTACACAAGTGTGCAAATAATTACCTAATTGAGACTAGGAGCATTGCATTACTGATCATAACGCATGAGGGGATGCTGGTCGCTGTGATACTTTTTTCAAAAACCTTTAACTTACAAAAAATTTAAATTCCTTGCTGCTTTGTCTAAAACATTCAGAGCATCAACTAATCATCCTAAAACTAACTAAGTTAATTAGAAAATACATATTTTCAGAAAAGGAACTTGTGCCTTTTCTCCTGCAGCAATGGACTGTGGGTAATACACGATGCAGACTTGGGTGAATTGCAGACCAAGGGTGCAAGGGGGCGTGATCAACTTCTGCACTCGAGAATCAGGACACCCTACGCACTCGCACCCCTGGTCGGGATCGCGCAATTGGAGGGCGCAAGGTTGGACGTGAGAAAAATGGGATTGGGCCATAATCTGCTTTAAGGCTGTTAGCAGTAATACTAGCAGTTAACACTTTCAGTTCTCTAAGAGCTAAAACCAGATTGAAAATCAGCACGGCCTGCACAAGTTTGAGGGAGACAAGGAGGCTACAAAAATCACTGATGATGGCCTGGCTTTGTTGCTACTTGACTTGTAATATTTTTTGTCCAACAGTGTGGACCTTTTAACTTCATAGTTTATTTTACTATTAGTTGGCTCATGTTCGTGTTAGCTCGTTGTTAGCGCTAGCTACAGCAGTGTTGTTTAACAGTTGTAATTCCACTTAAAACCAGTAGAGCGGAGAAGCAGGAAACTGTTCTGTGTCACTTTAAAATATTTATTTACATATAGGACCACCAGCAGCAATTAAGATGCACCCAGATTGAACAACAGAAATTTATTCATGACCAGGGTTTTTCACGAGCTGCAGAGACTTATGTAAACACACTAGCCTGGCAAGCCAAACTATATATTGACATATATAACTTTGCAAAGCAAGAATTTGGTCTAGTTCACTAGGCTATAAACACAAAGCAGTAGTGTTCAGATTAAAACAAAGTCATTATTAAAAACGTTTTTCCACAGCTTCGCCTCACTGAGCACAAGTGACATCCGACTGACCGGGCGAGTGTTGGATTAAGGTAAAGCAAGCGTGCGTACATGAGGCAGATTTAAAATAACGGCTATGATTTCTGCTGAGTGTCCGAACATGACCCAGAGAACAAACATGCTGCAAATAAAACAAATGACTCAGCAGAAATCAACCTGACAATGATGAAGCTGATAGGAGGAAGAAGACAATACGGTCGAGGAAAGGTCGATTAAGATTTCTGCAACGAATTACATCAAGTCTGGAGATAAATCACATCAGTTATACATGTTTTTAGAACACATGATGTGCTTCTAACATTAAGTATTTTGTAGTTTCCCTTTAAAACACAATTTAACAAAAAGAGCCATTCCCACCAGACGCCACACGCCTGCCAACTTTACTGTTAATTCATCATCTGGTGCAGACAGAAAAGACAAATGATACTTCAGAGATGGGCCGGGTCCACATTTGGGTCCATCATGATGATTTTGAGGACATATAGGAGGTCTGAGAGCATTGGTGACTGTGGTCATTCGCAACTCTGAGTCGCGCTACCTTAATAGAGATAAGAGGGTTACATGAGGATTGGTTCAGGTGGAGGGAAAAAAGGCACTTCAGAGTTACTCTCCAGCAGGAGGGCAGCTTTGCTCTGCAAAAAAAACACCTCAAACAGATATGCAACAGACTTCAGACAACACAACACAAGTGTCCACTGATGGTGGGTTGGGACTATCACCACTTCAGTTCCTGCAGCCACATAAAGTGGCATATGTATCGCGTCATACCCCTGTCAAAACCCGTGCACGCGCATTGGGTCCACAGCGCGCGTGTGAACGGGACTCGCGAGCGAAAATATACATGGCAGCGCGCGTGTGAACGGGACTCGCGAGCGGAAATATACATGGCGAGAGGTCATTTGTGCACTGAGAGGGAGCAAACTGTGTCTGTGAGCGCACAAGGATGTGCACAAGTGACAAACCTGCGTGCGCGCGTTGTCAACGAGCACACGGCAGAGGAAAACGTGCGCGCGCGGCAGCCTCTGTGCGCGCTCGGCAGCCTCTCTGCGCGCTCGGTTTCTGACTCCTGCTCGCTCGGCTGTAAGGGTTTTGGCACTCTGGAGGCGTGGCCTGTGGCAGATCTCCTCTGTCCTCTGATTGGTTAGTGTACCCCGCACTTTACCCTCTACCTATCTATATAAAAAAGTCTACTAGTCAAGTAGTTGCTGGCATAGCTCAGTTGGAAGAGCAGGTGACTCTCGCCCCGGAGGATCCAGGTTCGAGGCCGGGCAAGGAAAATGTAGTAGATGTCATGTTAATTTTTCTTAATTTCAGGTATTTTACAGTTGTGACCGTTCAACTGTCATTAAACGTCCGAATGTTTGCTGGGCAGTGTTTTAAAAAGTGCACATAAGCTAGATGGTTTTAACCATATAAAATTACATTTTTTGTGATACTGGAAAAATACATACTGAAATAAAACTACTGATTGAAAACTTTATGACTGTGGTTGTACAATATATGACTCACTAATACACTGCAAACTCCCTTAGAGTGGGGCTTCGAGAGAGAGAGAGAGAGAGAGAGAGAGAGAGAGAGAGAGAGAGAGAGAGAGAGAGAGAGAGAGAGAGAGAGAGATAGAGAGAGAGAGAGAGAGAGAGAGAGAGAGAGAGAGAGAGAGAGAGAGAGAGAGAGAGAGAGAGAGAGAGAGAGAGAGAGAGAGAGAGAGAGAGAGAGAAAAGTTCTTGCCTCATTAATGTATTGTTTATTTTTTTCAGTATTTAATTGACAAATTATCCTTTCAAATAATTAATTGATGAGTTACATAATTGTCCATTTAGAATTGTTGAATGGACTGAGTCAAGTTTGGTGCACTTTATATATTTCAAAACATGTTTTTTTTTTAATTTTAATGATGCATATAAATAATTTAAATGTTAATTTAATGAAATATTTCTATTTTTTCATTACCTCACCCTTGTTTTGACAAAAACGGGACCTTGCTGGATAATATCATGGAGAAACTATTTGTTCACAGTACATGGCTCAGTGAGGATCTGTGTACCGAAGGAGGAGATACTCAGAAATCTGTCTGCAGATTGTTTCAACCCAGACTGGAAGTGGTGGGCTGTAATAAGAAAGGAGACCAAACAGAGGAGTGGGGGTTCAACAACTGATTTATTTAACAAAAGTAAGGATTTACTAAAGCAAGTTAGTGAACAGAAAATGGCCAGTGAGGACTCTCCACCACACAGGAGAGACCCAGTGAAAGCAGAAAAACAGTAGGCTTTGTAGGCAGCACCACACCCTGAGCCCAGGTGCCTCCAAGGCTGCTTAACCAGCTGCCTACAACAGAAGAAAAACACAATTAAACACAAATGAAAACCCAATGAGATGGTGGGGGCATCACAACACGTTCAGGACTACCCAAACACCAGTAATTCTTGACTGCACTGATCTGAGGTGTCAATGGCCATATTCCCCTCTCTTCCAGAGTCATATATTTTCCTCAAGTTCAACTGCACTCTGAAGAGGCTCATTTGGATTGTGCCACATAGGCCAGTGACCTTTGTCTCAGCACTGTATGCTGGAACTATCAGCGACCAACCTGGGAATCTGGTGTGTTGAAAATGCTACAACTAGAGATGGTCATCTTGGTAGACAGGGGTTTCTTCATTGATGACATTGTGCCCTGCAAAGTGTACAGGCCAGCTTTCCTTTCTGGCAAACCTCAAATGTCTGCATGTAAAGTTATAGAAACAGAAGCCATAACATCTCTGAGTGCATGTGGAGCGCTCCATTCATCTGGTCCAAGAACACAAGCATTTTGATTGTTTTTCCCCTCCTTGCATTTGTAAACAATCAGCTATATGCTGTGGTTTTTCTCCTTACCAACTTTTAAAATAGCCCACTAGTGAAGGCCTGGGCAAAGAAGCCTGATGTCTGAGAACCTCAACATATGTACGGCAACCACACTGTATATTTA